CTAGATATGTCTACAGAAGTAATTTCATAGCAATCAAATCATCGAAGTTTCTGTTATATGTTCGATGGTTGTGTGCAGATTTGTGGTTCTGCAAGTAAATTCTATTTTTGTTTGCATCATTATCTTTATTTATCGGTTAAAGAAATTGCAAAAATCTTCAACAAGGTAACTTCTTGTTGGCACTTGATCTGTGATGGAATGTTAACGAGGAAAAATGGTGGCAGGATGTGGGCAGTTCCCGAGCCTAAAGGCATCACTCGTACAACTACAATGGAAGCTGAAAGTCTAAAGTTAGTTTCAGAGGGTTGTGGTGATGAAATTGTGGGTATCTTTATTTATGACATGATAAATTCCTTTTCCTTTCATGTTTTTAATTGGTGGCTAGACTCAGGCATTTCAAGTTGTTTTCGTTATTCTTTTATGTTACTCATCTGAATTATTGTTGTTTGAAATCTGATTTGAGTCCCTTTAGTTGCATCAGAAAGAAGTGAAGCGTGGCTCTAAGGATATTATTGGGGAAGTTTATAAAACTCATAATGCCATTCAGTAAGTATAGCTTATGCCCAGTAATTGTTCTACATTCTGCTTACATATCATAGTTGATTTGTATGAAGGCATCCTGAACAGCAAGCTTACTATTGTAAATTGAATATAGGACATTAGACAAAACTATTTCAAATTTAGAGATGGAATTAGCTGCTGCAAGGGCAGCACAGGAGTCCATACTCAGTGGCTCTCCTTTGTCAGAGGACTTGAAGAGGACTGGGTCATCTGGTAAAAGAAGATATTTGATGGTTGTTGGAATTAATACAGCTTTTAGCAGCCGCAAAAGAAGAGATTCAGTTCGCGCTACATGGCTGCCACAAGGTTCGTTGAATTGTGTCCCTACTTATTCTTATGCTGTTTTAATTTTTGTGTGAGATTTCATTGCTGACTAAGATTTTTTTTTTCCCTTAATACAAAATAGGTGAAAAAAGGAAGAAACTGGAAGACGAGAAGGGTATCATTGTTCGCTTTGTCATTGGTCATAGGTGAGTCAGGCTTCTTTTCTCTTTAATGATCTGGATAGGGGCGCGTGTAATTTGCAGTGGAGTATGTGTATGTCAGTCCGGGTTGTTGAGTGTATGTTTTTGGCCTTAATTTTGAATATTTGCTCACCCCTCATGTGTTTGATGATTAGGGCTACCCATGCACCTATTAGAGAGGAATATAAATTTATTCTTGGGACCTCACCTAATAGCTTAAGCTTTTAGGTTGGGATGATTATTTGATATGCATCAATTCAAAATTTTGTCAATCTTTTAAGGCTGCACAACTCTTCCAGTTGCTTTCTGTGACCAAATGAATGCCATCTCTCTTGAGAATCCATATTATCCTGATGTCAGCTATAGGCACTGAAAGAATCTTGAAGAGTAAGCTACAACATTGCAATAATTGCAAAGGGTTTTGGGTGCACTTGGATTCCCATAGAAATGAAATTTCAGTAGTAACTTGTACTCCCATTGTTTTAACACAAGTCAAAATGCTCAGTATGGTATCATATAGCATAATTTATTTTTTGGGAGTCACTCTACCATGTCAATCTCTCCGAGTCAATGTTCACAAGTTAGTGAAATTATTCAGAGGTAGTTACGTAGGCTGGGCATATGGTTTCAGTTCTCAAATATAGATATATGGTGATGAAAACAATCAAAACTTCTGAATTAAACCTGTGCTCTCTGAATGCATTCATGACAGCTAATAGCTTTGAAAATGCTAGATCATGAATTTAATTTAACTTGAATTATTTTATATTGTCTAGTGCCACATCAGGAGGCATTTTGGACCGAGCCATTGAAGCAGAGGACAGAAAGCATGGAGATTTCTTGAGACTGGTAAGGCTTTTCTCTTCAATTCTATTGCACTGTCCTATTTAATGGAACGCTTGCTCACTTCTGAGAAAAAGTACATGCCTGCTTAGGAAAAGAAAAATCTATGAACTCACATGTTTGCTTTGCTACGATATGAGCAGGACCATGTTGAAGGGTATCTTGAATTGTCGGCCAAGACAAAGATATATTTTGCAACTGCTGTTGCTTTGTGGGATGCAGATTTCTATGTCAAAGTGGATGATGATGTCCATGTAAATATAGGTAGGTCAACATATAATGTGCAGTGACTCCATTCTTATTGGTATATAATTATCTGAAGATGTTTTCCCTATTTCCAAATAAAAGTCAACTGGAAAAGATTTCGGATTATTATAATTGTATTAGAATTTATATATTTCACCATCTGAAGAATTTAGGTTCTTTCCTATCCTCCAGGATCAATGCGACATTTAACATGAATTATCTCATCAGTTTTATCCATGCGAGAAAATTGCTGTTCATAGCTTCTACTTTCTAATAATTTGTGTTAAGTCCATTTTCTTGCTACTTGGTGCAGCAACACTTGGAGAAACTCTAGTTAGACACAGAAAGAAACCACGTGTATATATTGGATGCATGAAATCTGGTCCTGTCCTTAATCAAAAGTAAGTGAAATTGTCTTGGATTCATTCTGTCAGAAAAGTTTTAGGGAAGGAATCATCTTCTACATTCTTAACTTGTCACTTTGTTGAACAGGGGTGTGCGGTACCATGAACCTGAGTACTGGAAATTCGGTGAGGCAGGGAATAAGTACTTCCGGCATGCTACTGGGCAGCTGTATGCCATTTCAAAAGATTTGGCTACGTATATATCAATAAACCAGTAAGTTCCTCTTTATTTGTAACATGAGATGATGGAGTTTTGTGCCTGGATCTAAATTTCAAGCTTTTCCCCATAGTTTACTTACATTAATGATGGTTCTTTTGCAAATAATTATCTCAGACATGTTCTGCACAAGTATGCCAACGAGGATGTTTCGCTGGGGTCGTGGTTTATTGGACTTGATGTTGATCACATTGATGATCGGAGGCTGTGTTGCGGCACTCCACCTGGTAAAGCTATATTTTACTAGAAATATTGTAAAACTTTAGTTAAAAAAGAAGAAGAGATTCTCTTGGACTAAATTAGACTTTAATACATTTTATAGAACCCACCAGTTACTGTCTCATTGAAGATACTGAGTTTTCCCATGTCAAACATTAGTGGGGGTCGAGCCTCTGTCACATCAATATTTACACCCTGAAGGAATACACTACGCACCAGAATGAATTGACTAAATATTGGATTGATGTGATTATTTGTTACCATTTCTTGTAAGGTTTGGAGAAGTTATCATGTACATCATGGTGTTTTTGAAAGTTGACATTGAAGTAATAGGAGTTTCCCAGAAAAATCAATAATTTCATTATGGAAAATCCTATGCAGCCTATTGATGCTTCTGAATTACAATTTGGAATTCTGATTATGATAGTGACAATTATCATACTGCCATGATCACTATTCAAATGGAAGTGCAGTAGCCTCTTATGGCTATTCTCGAACACATTTATTTCTGTTTCCTCCTGTTAGCTGCTATTTGCAAATTTATAACAGCTATGATTTCTGCATGGGTTACTGACCCATCCTTGATCACATGTGCTCTAAACCTTAGTCTCTGCCAGGACCAAAGCAGAATGGAATTGTGCGAGTACAGAGATGGCATGTTTCAAATTCTGATTATTTCTCACTTCTTGTTTCCTCAGATTGCGAGTGGAAGGCACAGGCTGGCAACATCTGCGTTGCGTCATTTGATTGGAGCTGCAGTGGGATTTGCAGATCCGCAGATAGGATTAAGGAGGTCCATCGGCGGTGTGGGGAAGGTGAGAAAGCTTTGTGGAGAGCAACATTCTAGGTGATAGTGCTCTTCCAACCTCAGGAAGATGATGCACTGAAGAATCAGGTGTTTCGAGTCTTTTCTGTATTTTTTTGTCAGTATAGAAACCATGTCATATTACGCCTAATAGAGAGGGAGAGAAAATGCATGTACATTCACGTCCTTGCTCACACGTGTGTGAGGGAGCAGATGCCCTACATCGTGGACTTCTCCATTTTAGCTAAGGAGAGAGACCGCAAAAGCGGCCAGAAGAGGCAAGAACACTAAACAATTCTTTGATACACAGGAAAGCCGATTTGCAAGTTTACAATTCGACGGGCAATCAAGCTAACAATAAATACAAGTCATGGCAGTGGCTTTTCCAGCTCTCATTCGATTTTGAAATGTTCTGTATTCTGTTACCCAGAATCCATTGTAGAAACTCTGCTGTGTCGATTAGCAATGCCAAAAGTTGGTGGATTTGATTAGGAGCTTTTAAGCCATGCAGCGATAATGATTCTTATTCTTTGATTTTGTGGTTGATGCAACTCCTAACGAAAAAACTAGATTGGCTTATGAAACTGGAAGACATCCGAGGTGTTCGGGAGGGAATGTTACAAAGCTTGCCTCTTAAAATGTTTTTTTTTTTTTAAGTTAATTAAACTATTTTTTATTTTTTAAATATTAATATATCAAAAATATTAAAAAAATAATTTTAAATATATATTTTCTTAATTTTCAGGAAATGTTATTTTAAATGCAATTCTACGGTAATCCTTGTAACAATTCTTAAAAGTTAGTATGGTAATCCTTGTAACAATTCTTAAAAGTTAATGGTGTGTTCTTGCTTCGTGTTTGATCCATTCTAATAACCAATTTATTTCTTAAAAGTTTACGGTTAGTTGATTAAAATTTAATTTATTATTTTAAAATGCTAATATAAAAATAAAAAATATTATTTTAATATATTTTCAAATAAAATATACCACGATCAAGCTTTTAAATACAATCACAATAAAAAAAAAATAAAAAAAAAAAAACGTCTTTTCAAAATATTAGTAGCGCAGCTTTCATAGACCACGAGTTATTGTAAATAGTAATACTAGCAACTACCAATTTATTTCAGATCCAGGCCGTTAATAAATAGATAATTATAAACGACACCGTCTATCTTTAATTCACGTGGGGTCCACACTAAGGACTGTAGAGGATAGACGACCAAAATATCAAGAGTGAAGAAGTCTCCCTTGCTTGCAGCCTGCTATTATTACTATTATTTCCCCTTCTTTCTCTCCCGTCCTTCCTTCCTTGCGGATCCGAATTCTGAATTCTTCTTCCCAATCTCGGTACGTTACGATATAATCTTACTCTGCTTTTCTTCTTTAAACAATTTATTTTTTAAATTGACCGGAATAAGTTTTTTCCTCTTCAAAAGAAAAGAAATTGCGGATCATCGCGATGGCTAAAAGCTCGTTCAAGATGGAACATCCTCTCGGTTTGTATTCAAATATTTCTCTGATAAACCCTAACTTTTGGTTTTTTTGTTGTGATCTGTTTCAATCCTGAATAGTGGATTCATCTAGGGTTTAGATTTTGATTTCCGTGTGGAATTATTTAAAGATTGTGTTGTGTTGGATGGATGACAGAAAGGAGGCAGGCTGAAGCTGCTCGCATCAGAGAAAAATATCCTGATAGAATTCCTGTATGTTTGTTTTTAAACCCAATATTGTGTTCATGTGTGTTCGGACGGCATGTCCTTTAGGCTGAAGTTAATATGAGTGATTAATTTTTGTAGGTGATTGTGGAAAGGGCTGAGAAGAGTGATGTCCCTGACATTGACAAGAAAAAGTTAGCCCTCCAAACTTTTTATTACCATGAATTATAGCTGTTAGTTTTCTCTTTTTTGTACTGTTAAGTGAGTAATTGTGACTGTATGCTTAGATATCATGTATATTGGTCATATGCAGTGTCTGATTTGCTGTTCTGAAGGAATAGAATGGTGTAGTTTCTACATGTTACTCCTTCACCCTTACATTTATTGACCCTGAATTGACTTTGTTAAACATGCGGTGAACATTATGGATTTGGGGCTTTATACCCTTTGGCTCCTATTTTGTTGTTGTGTGTTCTAAATCATGCTTAGGTGACATCAAAGCTTATGTGCTCATGTATTAACATCCCAGCTAAATGGTAATAAAAAACATAAATCTCTTTAAACTCTAGGTATTGCTACATGGTTGGAAGGTGCTTAGTAGATTTATTGATGTGTGCTAACTAGTATATTTCACATTTTTTCGCAACTTTTTTTTTGTCTTAATGGAAATTAATTTGTAACTTTGGGATGAGTAGATATCTGGTTCCTGCTGATCTCACTGTTGGCCAATTTGTGTACGTGGTCCGAAAAAGGATCAAGCTCAGTCCAGAGAAGGCTATTTTCATCTTCGTGAAGAACATTCTACCACCAACTGGTGAGATAACATTTAGTGTATTTTGATTCAAAAATTTATAAACATTGCCTGTGTTACAGGCCTTGTGACGTGAAAATTGGTTCCATTGCTGCAGCTGCTATGATGTCAGCAATATACGAGGAAAACAAAGATGAAGATGGGTTCCTTTACATGAGCTACAGTGGTGAGAACACATTTGGGGTCTATTGAAATGCTACAATGGCACATCTGTGTGTTCGAGCCATGCAAAAAAAAAAAAGAAAAGGAAAGAAGAATCTAGATTACTTGTAAATTCTTTACTGCCTCGGTTGTTCGCTGCTGTCTCCAAGTAACACTGGTCTCAGACTTTCCCTTTTATCTTTGGATAATTTGCTGTCTATATTAAGTAAATCACTTTTCTCCAATTTGCGTTCGTGGTTGTTTATGTCAATTCTGCGCTGAGTGGATGGCTTCCAGTCCCCTGTGTGCTGGTTGATTTTGGATTATTTGCCTGACTGGTTATTTTACATTGATGCATGAACAAAGGCCTCTTAGAAAAAGAACGAATAAATTAATAAACGAGGCCCCGGGAATTGTTGGTTCAGATGATTTTCTTGTGCAGTTTTTACTCTGTCAAATCAACCCAAACGACGTTGCTTTGTGCTGTTTCTGCTGAAAACTGTCACCAACTGGCCCCAAGACCTGGAAGTTTGTTTGGCTAGTCCAAGAAATCAAATTACAAGGATGGCATTTGACCAAATAATTCGAGATCGGCTTAATTGAATTTTGAAGAGTTCGAAAGGGATCTTTCGCATAATGATTTAAAAAAAAAAGCATTTTTTATTTTACATGTTCGAAAGGGATCTTTCGCATAATGATTTTTTTTTAAAAAAGCATTTTTAATTTTACACTGTAACAGAAAAAAGAAAGGAATATCGTAAATAAATGTATCTCCATGGATTTCTAGATCATCCTGTCTAGGGGTTTTTTAACCCCTCCGTTGCCATCCAGCCTATTCCAATATGCCATTTTTCAGAGCTCTACAAATTATTTTGAAGTCTTTTTCTGGTACTGGTTCTTGACCCATTTGATACCCACCGAAGTTCCACTCTTTACCTTCTGAGCAGCTGTCTTGGCCTTGTCGAGTCCTGTTGAAGCCGCTGCCTTGACCTCCGCCATCTTCTTGCTGGCGTTACCATTGTTATGCCCTATTTTCGCCATGAATTTCTCATCATCTTCCTTGCTGAAACTTCCTGAACCCCACTGATCAGCCCAGCTTGGCGCCTTGCTTCCCATGCTTGTATTTTCTGCAGTTACATCATAAGAAAGAACTGGAGTTAATTCCAAGAAAAAGAAAAGAAAAGAATGAACTGGAGCAGTAGTAACGTAAATTGCATGACACTATACACCATGCTCTCGGAATAATTTCATTTAGAACTGACAAGGATCATATTCTTTCCGACCCATAACATTATGAACACAACGAAACTCCAAATCTACCGGTCAATACAGTAGTCATCTCCAGCCTAAATTTATGCTTTGGCCGAGCCCAATTCCCTTTACGAACCAATATCCCATCTCTCTCTCTCTCTCTCTCTAATATTAACAGATCCGATCCAGAAACTTTAAATATGTAATTTTGAACCAACCATGGAATTCAGTAATTCATCAAAATGATCAAAAAAAGAAGAAAAAGAAGAAAGAACAGCGATTTAGTTCTCTATTTTGCGTAGATCGTGACAACATGAAATTACGTGCGTGTCAATAGAGAAGAACAATATTGATTAGTATTTGTAACAATTTTAATTACAATTCAAGGATAAGAATTCAATTTTTAAGAGAGATGCAGTTACAAATACATTCAAGAATCTTATAGGCATCATGAATCTAGACGAACAAACTATTAATTAATTTAATTCGACAGCATAAAAATGGAAATGAGTAATTTAAACAATTTGTACAATTAACAAGAGTTCATCCAAACAGCATGACTGACAGACACTCTATGATTACAAAGTTCATATATACATACATATATTTCAAAAATGAAAAGTCGATCACATGACATGAAGAACAGAAAAGATTGAGAAATGAAGGGCATAAACCATAAAATGAAACTCTAACCCTTGAAACACAGAAGAACCTCAGAGACAGTACCTTGGGGAAAGAGTTTGTGGGGAGTGAAATCCGCTGAATGTAATGCGAGGGTTTTTTTATGGGTTTGGAAAATATCAAATTGGTTCTTGGGAAGGTTGAGAGAAAGTGCGAGCGTTTATGAAAATGTTTTGGGGGATCGCACGTTTTTACTCGTTGGCTTCTTAGCTGTATGACACGCATTCCATGTCTTGCACCGAGAGCTTGCTTTATAATGCGACAAATATCCCATTTAAAGTATTTTTTATTTTAAAATATATTAAAATAATATATTTTTTATTTTAAAAGATTTATTTTTCATATTTAAAAAAATTTAAAAATATTAAAAAAATAATTAAAACACAAAAACAAACCACAGGATTAGGAAGTCATACCTTTATTTTATTCTTTTAAAAAACTCATTTATGACCCTTTCCCCACCTTCACTCGATCTCTGCTTTCTTTCCTTTTCTTAAATTGTGTTTGTTTGGTGAAAAATGTTTTAATAATAAAATATACCTTTTTAAATATTAACTCATAGTATTCACTAAATACTATTATATAGTTATATGCAATTTCTTTTTATTTGAGCATATAAATTCTTAAATCTTATCTAATCAAGTGTTTTTGTTAGCTTTCGTTAAATATATATTGATATAATAGTTAATTTACATTATATAAGAAATTTTATTTTTTATATTAAGTGTCTGTACTCTAATTATTATTATTTTTATCAATGGAGTGTTTTTTAATTTTAAAATTCTTTAAAATACCCACTTCACATTATCATGTGGGACATATTTAGTCAAGTTAAATAAGATTAAAAAACAAAAAAAAATAGAAATTTATTCAAATTAAAATAAAATAAGAATAGAAGATTATTTTTCCAAATAAAAAGAACATAGATTGACTCAATTTTTATCCATATAAAAAAATTAATATCATAAAAAATTAATAATTCCAAATACAAATTTATTGTAAAATAAAGTTTTTTTTTTTTTTGTTTCCGCTCCTGATTTATCATTTCGGGCCTCTATTCTTTGAATTCCGAATTTCCTTAATAATTTCAAAGGAGTTGATCGTTAATTTGGCAAAAAGAAGAATGCAATTGGAAAAAAAATGATGATAAAAAAAGTAAGAAAGGAAAAAAAAATGAAAAATATCCACAGTGATTTCACCATATTCTAGTGTTGTTTATTAATTGATAATTTTTAAAGAAGTGAAAATGCACCACGGAGGAAAGGATTTGTGAGAGTAGTTTCCATAGTAGTTTTCTTGGGATGCCGAGAGACCATTACAATTAGGTAGCAGACCGAGCAGCGTGGACAGTGTTCAATTCTTTGATCCAGGCGGAGGAAACCCACCAATGCGCCGGAGAGCGGAGGTCTTATTTTTAGAGTATTTTTTAATTAATATCATATTTATATTATTAATTCTATAAATTCTGAAATTAAAGATTATATAAATCTTTAATAATCTTAAAATTTTTAAAATTTAAACTAGTATTTTTTAATTTATATTATGAAAATGCAATCTGCAGATCACAGTGTCAGGCCCTTATTTGATAGCTCTGTCAACTCTGTGAACATGGCCACAAGAAATGACCACAGATCACGTGTTGGAAGATATTCACAACACCAACGTCTCCATCAGCACCAGTCTTATGACTTCAACAACAAAGGAAGGGGACGTGGCTATAAAGAAGAGGTCCACCTTCAAACTACTCTTCCAATCCGAAACCACAGTGCTAGGTCTGCGGCAAACTTGGTCACACTGCCATCCAATATCATTACAGATTTGATCATGCCTACTAAGATACCTCTCCTCATATGGCAGCTTATATGACAACTTCCTCACCACCTCATGATACCAATTGGTATCCAAATACTGGTTCCACAAATCATCTCACCAACAACTTCAACAATTTGTCTCTCCAGTCAGACGCTTATCTTGGCAACAACCAAATTCATGTTGGAGACGGGGCAGGTTTGCCCATAACACACATTGGCTCTACTACTCTCTCCACACTAACAACCTCTTTTATTTTAAATAAGTTACTACATGTGCCTCAAATTCAAAAGAATTTAATATCTATCAGCTAATTCACAAGAGACAACAATGCTTATATTGAATTTCACTCTTCTTCTTTTTTGGTAAAGGACGAAGCAACGGGGAGAGTTCTTCTGCGCGGCAAACCTAAAGACAGCCTTTACATTTTTCCAAACTCAATGACATCAATAAACCATCCACAAGCCTACATATCTCAACGAGTACCTCTTAATGTCTGACACTACCGAATGAGACATTCGTCCTATCAAACTATCCGTCATCTCGTTTCAAAGTTTTCTTTACCTACTTCATCTAATAAAATTTTGGGTATCCGTTCAGCTTGTCAACAAGGAAAGAGTCATCGCCTTCCTTTTTCTAGTTCTCAATCAGTTTCTAATCAACCATTTGAATTAATTTTCTTTGATGTGTGGGGTCCATCACCTATCATGTCCACAACTGGAAATATATACTATGTTTCATTTGTTGATCATTTTAGCAAATTCATGTGGCTATATCCAATCTCTAATAAATCTAGTGTCATGTCTATTTTTTGCTCATTTCAAAAACTTGTTGAACGCTAATTTAATTGTAAGATCAAATATGTCCAAACCGATTAAAGTAGGGAGGGAGTATCACTCCCTTCACACCTATTTTACAAAAATTGGCATTCAACATCGAATCTCTTGCCCTCATACTTCCCAACAAAATGGATCTGTCGAACGGAAACACCGTCACATTATTGAAATGGGTCTTTCCCTCTTATCCCATAGTCATGTTCCCTATAATTATTGGGATAATGCTTTTCTCATGGCCACATATCTTATTAATCACCTCCTACCTCCCCCATGGCATGTCACCATTTAAAAAACTCTACAATCATCCTTAAAAATTTTTAGATGTGCATGTTTTCCTTTTCTTCATCCTTTCAATCACAACAAACTTGACTTTCAATCTAAACGTTGCGTCTTTCTTGGTTATAGCAATTCTCACCGTGGATTCAAATGTCTTGATACATCCACTGGGAAGGTATTTGTCTCTAGACATGTGATCTTCGATGAAGGATCTTTTCCCTTTGTTAATTCAAAAACATCCCCACCTCAACCTCCATCCACCTCATATACAACTCTACCCACATCTTTTTTAAGAAACAATATCAATCATACCTTGACATCAGCTTCATTACCACCAACAACACCTTCTTCCTATTCCCAGCCATTCTCTTTATCCTCCTCAGTCCCTGCTCTTTCCCAGAACATATCTCCAACAGACATAAATTCCTACACTCCTCCCAACGACTCTGCTCCCACACTACAACCAACCCAACACATATCAGTTGCTGCAGAACTCTCCTCGCAGAGTCCTTATCAGATGATCACACGATCTCAAAACAATATTGTAAAACCAAAGAAGAATCCTGATGGAACTGTTAGGTATCCCTTGTCATAAACTTTTCTTGTAATAGGTACCATTCCAGAATCACCAACCTGTTATTCAGAAGCTTCAAAACATCGTGAATGGCATGTAGCGATGGATGAAGAATTCACTGCACTCATGAGAAATGTCACATGGTCCTTAATCCCTGCCACACCTGGTTTCAATGTAGTCGACTCCATGTGGATTTTCAATCCAAACGCAAGTTTAATGGCTCTCTTGAACAAAGAAAGGCGAGACTTGTCGCCAAGGGTTATCATCAACAACCAAAAATTGACTTCGATGATACGTTCAACCCTGTGGTAAAACCTACCACCATCCAGGTCATGCTCAGCTATGCTGTCTCCAATCAGTGGCCGATACATCAGATTGACATACAAAACGCCTTCCTTCATAGCAACTTATCTGAAGAGGTTTACATGCACCAACCTCTTGGCTATGTTCATCCTCGATTTTCCAATCATATTTGTAGACTATATAAGGCCCTCTACGAGCCTAGTACTATTGACTACAAGAGCACTTACTCTCTCTCGGTTTTGTGAACTCCTGCTCCAACACTTCTCTCTTCATCTGCAGACACGATTCAACTTCATTATTCCTCCTTGTTTATGTCGATAATATCCTGATCACTGGATCAAATCCACTGGCTATCTCCCTACTGATAACCAATCTCAGTCATGAATTTGCTGTTAAAGATCTAGGTCGCCTCAAATATTTTCTTGGCATGGAAGCACATCAACTGGCCAACAGTCTTCTACTCTCTCAAAATCAGTATATCTTCAACCTTCTCCAGCGCACAAATATGGTGGATGCAAAACCAGTCTCTTTACCAATGTCATCTTCTCAGAAACTATCGTTGGTCTCGGGTGCACCTTATTCAAATCCCTCCAATTACCGCAGTGTAATAGGAGCATTACAATATTTGTCTCTGACTCGACTAGATATTTTCTTTGTAGTTAACAAAGTCTGCCAATTCATGCACCAACCTACTGATGAACACTGGACAATTGTGAAGAGAATCCTGCGTATCTCAAGTTTTCAATTCATTTCGAGTTACTTATTAAGTCAAGCACCTCCACACAGCTCTCTATTTACTCCGATGCTGACTGGGCAGGCTGTCCAGGTGATCGAAAATCCACCTCAGGTTTCTGCCTATATCTTGGTGACAACTTAATCTCATGGAGCTCCAAGAAGCAATAAACTGTGGCACGTTCTAGCACTAAAGCTGAGTACCGTGCAGTTGCTCATGCCACTGCTGAATCTCTTTGGGTGCAATCCCTGTTACGTGAAATTGGTATTGCTTTAGTCCAATGTCCAATACTATGGTGTGACAATATCAGTGCCACATATCTCACGACCAATCCAGTATTCCATGCACGCACTAAGCACATGGAGATCGACTATCATTTTTTCAGGGAGAAAGTTCAACAAAAAACTCTTGACGTGCACTTCATCTCCAATAAAGATCAACTTGCTGACGGGCTCACTAAACCAATTGTGTCTACCTGATTTGCCTTTCTCAGAGACAAGCTCAACATGATTTCATTCCCGTTAATCTTGAAGGGGCATATTATGAAAATGCAATTTGCGGATCACAGTACCAGGTTTGTGGCAAACAAGCGATTACAAATCACAGCAAATCAACAGATGAAATTACATCTTGATTACAAGAGTTAAATACTTGCCTTTCATGTGTATTCCTTAGCTGAAATTAATAGATTACATAGCTGTAATTCATTCTCCTTAAGTGTACTGTAATGAATATAAATAGAGGTCATCTCTCGCTGAACAGAGCACAAGAGTTTCTTGCATTATTTTTAACTATTTTTTTTTAATTTAGTTTTCAGAGTGTTTTACTAACTCTTTTTGGATCTATTGCTCTTTAGACGTCCCTTCTGGTTTGTATGTATTCAATGTGCTAATTGATTTCTTAAATAAATTGTTTCATGGTTAAAAATAATTTGTCAAATTTTAAGTCAATGTACAATAAAATTATTAAATTGCTTTAAATAAATGCATATGAAGGTTGCTTCGATGGTCAAGAAAGCTTGCAATTTCTTAACCTTTTGGTTTATGTCTCGAGTCAATACTTAATAAAATTATTAAAAAAATTTAAATATATAAAGAGGGAGTAGATTGTTCAAATAATTTAGAAAAAGATTTAGTCTGAAATGACATGGAAATTAAAAGAAATTTTTTAAGTAAAGTTGTTTATAGCATATATTTATTTTGATATTTGTTACAATATTTCACAGATATTTACAGCCTTATATCCACAAATATAATAGTGTAATTTTTATCTAGAGCAAACGTGCATTTATTTTTTCATAAAAATCACATACGTGATTAAGAATATTAGTAATGAATGTTTTATATCGCTATATACTATTTTTATGTGAAATATATAAATAAGTTAATAAATATAGATACAAAAACTATACGAAATTAACGTGACATTTTAAATTTTAAATATAAACGTCGATTTTTTTTATTAACTTAGCAATTAAAAATCTTATGATAAATTTATGTGTTTTATGATTATTTTAATTCACATAGCAGAGTAAAAGGTCTACCTATAAGAGTCAATTAATTTGATTCACGACCCAACATAGTATTAGTACTCCACAAATTTAAGTGGTATTTATTTACTATTCCGAAATATAAGTGACAAAAATAATAAGAGAAGAAGAGATAGGATGAAATAAAAAACAAATATAATTATATTTAGTAATGATATATAAGAGAGTAATTGTTTATATATTATCTTTGATTGATAGCAAACAAGATAAAATAAAATATAAAAATTTTATTTTATTCTTATATATTTAAAAAAATATTAGATATTGTTTTCTCTATTTTAGTTTATATTAAAAATTGGAATTAATAATAATACAATAATATTAGTTATAAAACTCAGACTGACCTAATATGTCAACCCGGAACTTAACTAGTCTAAGACCTAAATTAATCTTGAGTTTAAAAAAATTAAAAAAAGAATTAACCCAACATTATCTAATTAAAAATCCTAATCAACCTACAATTTAATCAACATGAGGTAAAACCATATCAAAACCTGGATAAAAAAACTCATTAAATATTTTTAGATTAAAATAATATTATTTTGATTATTAAAAAATATCTAGTTAACCTACTCAATTAATTACCCGAATCTTGTTCTCATATCTAGTTAACCTACTCAATTAATTACCTGAATCTTGTTCTAAGTTAAATTTTAAAATTATAATAATATTTTTTTTTATTTTTAATTTTAAAATTTAAAATTTTATACAAAAAAATTTTAAAAATAAAAAATAATATTATCTATGAAACTATTTTAAAACCGGAAATCGCAACCTTTCCTTTGTTCCGATATAAATGTTAGAATCATTTCTCTCTCCTAATTTCAACATCCAAACACACTAGAATCATCCCAACAATATCTAAATATTATTTTTGAACTTAATCATTTCTCTCTCCTAATTTCAACATCATTTTTCACTAGAATCATCCCAACAATATCTAAATATTATTTTTGAACTTCAAAACATGTTTTAGTAACTTTGAAATACATATATATATATAGACAGAGAGAGAGAGAGAGAGAGACACGCAGACAAACATTTCTCTCTCCTGATATATATATAGACACACACACACACAGAGACACGCACACAAACATTTCTCTCTCCTCTCTTTTCTCTCATCGATTCCCTCTTCTCGACATGTAAGGACTTAGTTTTAACACAAAAGTTTAGAGGCCATTCCATACAAACGTCAATCTTCTGTACATACAAGGACCTCATTTTAACACAAATAAAGTGTACAGACCATTCCATACAAACCTCAAACACCAAGGACCAAATTCAAATTTACAAAAAATCACTAATATTTTTTATTTGTAAAATCGTTTTGAGCAAAAAGGGCTCAAAAGGGTGCCGGCAACTAGACAGTGCATAGGTACGGCTGCAACCGTTCATTACCATTTAGTTTTTCTTAATCTTAATCCTTCATCCATCCTTCCACCAACAGCAATGGTTATCAGAAGCAGAAATATGCAGATTTAGTTTTTTTAACAAAATGATACCTTTACAAGCTCAGTAACCCCAAGGACCCAGTACATGGATAATAGAATTGATCATCCATCAAGCAAGGTATTGTTAAAAAAGATGATTCCCCATGCATGTATCTGTATTTTAGCACATCTCAAATCAAGGGCCTTTATCTGCATGTTGATATATCATGCCCCTTGTTATCAGTCCCTGGTGCAGCGAACTGTGGTGGATGCAGGTGCTCTGATGAATGGTTTTCAGCAGTTTAATTGAAGCACAAAAAACAAGGTGTTGACAAGTTCCTGCTAGTTAAAATTAAACAAGAATAAAACATGCATAAGATCTTACATCTGTCAACTTGTAAAATACACGCACTGATGCATGAGCTAAACACAGAGACTATGATTCAGGTTTCATTCAACATGCTCTTCCTTCATTCTGCTGATGTTTACTGGCGGACACTCCTACTTAACACCCAGATGGATCTATCAGAGATGTTAGAACCGAATCAAAACTCGTTTTTTGGTGGTAGAGTTTTCAGAATACGCATTGTTTATCCTTGGAGAACCAAAACAAATTATGCCAACAAGAAGTTTTCTATCTATATATTTGACTTCTTCCTGGTACAACCAACAAAAGATATTACTCAATGGGCAGTTTCCGTTTCATTCCAAATGAGCTAAATTAGCAAGGAGCAACTCTGAAAGAATGTATTTCCTTTAGGTATCTTTACAGAATTTTGGGTATGGAACTGTAGAACCCTTCTTAGTGCTGCCATAATCATTTAAGAAACTATGAGTCACAGAATTACAAGAAAGATCCAACATAAGATGATACCAAATGGAAACAAGTCACGAATACTTTTTCCAAAACCAATTTCGACAAAGGAACAAAGAGTCAGTATTCTCCCCCTTGAGACATCATCATCAAGCAAACAGATAAGAAAACAGCTCCATACCACTTCAACTCATTTTTTATTTGAAGGCCTTGACAGATTATCACAACATATCTTTGATGAAATCAAGGTTTAGGGTGTCCCGAACAATAAGAAATAGTCCAAGGAGAATAACAAGCATGATCCCGGATGACATTATCCGCTGCTCTATTTCTAAAGGGAGCTTTCTCCCACCCCTAGCTGCTTCTATGAGAATCAAGGCCAGGGAGCCCCCATCCAAAGCAGGTAATGGAAGGAGGTTTATCACTGCAAGATTAATATTGAGCACAGCTGCAAATTGGTAAAGTCCATCAATATTCGACCTTGCAACTTCTGCACCAACAGCAATAATAGCAACCGGACCAGAAACCTTACTAGCTGATTGAGAGAAGTTTAAAAAAGTTTGTTTCAAGCTATCCACCACATTGGATGAAAGACCCAAAAATTCTTTTCCAGCAAAATTAAATGCCTCCAAGATGTTCTTGGCTACAACCTTGGTAATCTTTACATTGGGTGATAATTGAACTCCAATTTTACCTGTTCCATCAAAACTCTCATCCGGGGTGACGCCAATCTCAAAATCCTGTTTTCCCCTCTCAACCTTAAGCAACACATTCTTTTTAGGACTACTCTTGATGACCCCAACAACCTCGGAAACCGCATTTGGCCCAATTTTAGGCAAGTTAGTTCCATTAACAGCAAGAATTACATCCCCGGGAAGCAACCCATCTCGGGAAGCAGCGGAAAAGGCTCGAACTTCTGGAACAAGCACCCCAGGAAAGGCCTCTTGCACAGGCAAACCAACTGATAATACTTGAGCAAGGATTATAACATAAGCAAAGATAATATTGGCAATAACACCAGCTGATATCACTATCGTTCTATCCAATATCGGTCTATTCTTAAGCAAATTCTCATCATCTACTGGTATATCACTCTCCGGATCATTATCAGGAAACCCCACAAACCCACCCAGAGGAAATGCTCTTAAAGAGTATTCAACGTTTTTAGCACTAAATTTAGCTAAAACCGGACCAAACCCAACAGCAAATTTACTTACATGGATACCCTGTAGATAAGCAGCAAGAAAGTGACCACTTTCATGAACAACAATAATGGCTGTCAACACTCCAGCTGCCTCTAAAACAGACTCAAAGTTCCCCATGTCAAATCCAGAAACAGCGCATGACCTTAAGTCCAACCTTTTCCCATGTGGGCATCTACTGAAAAGGTGAGTCTTGGGGTGAAAACTAAGGTTTGATGAATAGCAAGGTGAAGAGGGAAGAGGTTTAAGAAAGTTGGTTTTGGATTTTAAAGAGGATGATTCTAAAACGGGTGACTTCGAGTTGGAAAATCTTGGAAGAGAAGATGAAGGGGGTAGAGGAGAGTGAGAGAAGTTTATGAGCATGGTTCCTTGAAGGAAGGGTTTAGGCTAATGAGAGGAGGAGAAATGGCAAAGAAGGGAGGCAATGCTTGTGGATAATTCATAGTTTTTGGGTCCGTGGAGGGGAAGTAGAGTGATAAAAGTCCTCCTTTTGTTTTGCTTCCACACAAATGTGTTCTTGGCTTGCGTTTTCAGATGGACATTTGTGGTTCATTGGTGGAAGATCCCAAGCTTCCAAAGACCCACTCACAACATCAACTTCAGGCCCAGTTTTAGTTTTTTCTTGGATTTTTATTTTCCATTCATATTTTTATTTTTAATTGAGATGAATATTAAATCAACTTACATATATTTTGATTAATTTTATAATTTTAAAATTAATAATTATATAAATTTTTTATAAATATAAGATTAATAAAACTCAAATTGATAATTTTTAAAAAGTAAATTTAGAATTTGATTAATTGAGTTATATTTTTTAAAATTAATTTATATTTTTTTAATTAATATTATGATGCATTTTATTAGTTTATATATACACACACGGGCATGCATGCTGGAAAAAAAAAAATAAGGGTAAGTTATATAGTATTGACATCTTGGTTTAAAATATGAAGTAATTAACTTCGATTGGAACGGACGTTGTCCAAGATTTTTTATGTTTTGACTGTTCAGACCGCATCATATATTTAAATAGGATGTTACTAATACCCAAATAAATACCACACCTAAATCAATACGGCACCAAAAATGAAAGAGAGCACTGACCTCAAAACACATTATTTTATTTAATTATACTTAAAAAAAATTGAATTTTTTAATATATTTTTAAACAAAATACATTATAAAAAAAACAAGAATTTAATCATCCATGAGCCAAAAAGCCAAACACGGGAGTAGGGTGGTGGCATCTAGGAGTCCATGTGCTACGTCCCACTATATGTATGGTTGCCGATTCGTTTTTCCTGCCAAGTGAGATTTTATGTAAACTGTGGACTCTGGAGGACCAGGTTCAATGAACCTGAAACCCCACTGCCTTTTCAAGCTCTCTTCCTGGAATATATATTCTACAGCTATCAGCAAAACAAAGACACGGAGGTTTTAGAGAAAGGGAATGAGTTTTGCGTTGTGTTTTCTTGTTTTTAGAGGGACAAAGAGTTCCAATGTTTTCTCATGATCATGACCCTCCATGCTGCAGACGCTTGTGGCAGTCGAGGTTCACTACCAGCTTCTTCTGTACAGTATCTTTCCACGAGATCAAAGGTCACTGCCTTGTGTTTTTCATCTTTTTCGGTATGTTCAGACCAAAAGGTAGAACTAATATTTAGTTTTGTAATATTCAGTTTGGCTCTTCCCATGAACCTCATCATCAAAGTGTCTGTTTTCATGCAACTCCTGAGGCTCAACTAATTGTTGCAGAGATAACTGAGAAGGCTGAACTTGAAGGTGTAACAGAAGATCATGGCAACCTGGCAAAAGAACTTGAGAAAGCTTCTCCTCTAGCAATTATCAACAAGGCCCTTCAAGGTTTTATAGATGGCAGCGCCATTTCTTTCAGGTACTTTGATGCCATGCCCATGTCTCTCGATTAGTTGGATATTTTTAATGTAGACATTTAGATAAATTGTCAAAAATCCAGGAGATATAGAAGATGTCGCCTGAATTCCAATTCTAATAGAAACATGCATGCACAAGGAACATATATACTTCATTGGTGAAAGATTCTGCACTGACCCTAACAATGGCATGTAGGGTCGTTGCAGCAGGAGTTTGTAGTTCTAAATGTTGAGAATGAAAGAAGAAGATGTTAGGTTCAGTAAATATTTTTGTTAAAATAAAGGGAAAAGAGCAAGCGCAGCCTGACCTTTTTTCAAAAGGGAAAGTTCTATGTTGGTATGCTATTCTTTTATTGATGATGATCATCAAAACAGTTAAGCGAGCTCCCAGTTGTGGCCGATGCTTTTGGGTAGTCTTCTTTGAAATTCTTTTCTATTTTATATTTAACCTTTTCTTTCAGCTATCACGATTCACAGCTACGGGAGATTCCTAATTAAAAAATATATTTATCATGACAGCCGGATTAATTAAGCAACCAATAATGATCGACAAGGCGATCTTAACAAGATCATTAGAATATATATCTTAATGCAAACTTGAGCTACTATAGAGTCACGCTTCTAACAGAAAACGATGTGAATGGAAAAACGCGAAGAGTAGAGAAATCCTTCGCAAGATTCTGAAAAAAAGAATAGCATTAAGGGACAAGCTGTGTATAAATTGTACAAGTTGTCGCTGTCTAGGTATTAATTAGATTTAAACGAGCTCATTTTTTTATGCTAAACATCCAGCCCTTCCATTTGAATTAATGAGCCTTCTTGTTGTGTCAAGAGAGACAGAGTGCAGTCTAGTTCTTTGGTGGAACTGTCGTGGAGATTTTGTCACCATGCCTTTGTCAGTATTATGAATTGAACACAGCATTTAAAATCATGCAGTGGAGCTGAGGATGTGTCTTTGATACTCCAATCTGGAGTGTTTGGCCTGGACACGGGGAGGTTGAACTCAGAGACCGACAAACTCTTGGATGATGTGGAGAAGTACTACGGCATGGACATTGAATACATGCACCAAGAATGTTGTCAAGTACTACAGGTGAGACCTCTTAGAAGGGCCCTTAAGTATCTTTGTGCTTGGATCACAGGCCAAAGAAAAGATCAGTCTCCTGGCATTAGAGCTAGTGTTCCTGTTCTGCAAATTGACCACCCTTCAGTTGAAGGAATTGGGTGTGGAACCATCAGCCTCGTGAAGTGGAACCCAGTGGCAAATTTGGGCGGCCAGGCTATATGGAACTTCCTCCGAACCATGAATGTGCCTGTTAATAGTTTGCTTGCTTTAGGATTTGTCTCAACTGGTTGTGAGACTTTCACCAGACCGGCCCTCTCCTGGCAGCATGAGAGAGAAGGGAGGTGGTGGTGGGAGGAGGGCAAGGTGAAGGAGTGTGGACTACATAAAGGAAATATGGAATCTGAAGATGCGCAAATCAGTGAGCACATAAATGGAGTCGTTTCCTTTACAGATGTAAATGACCCAATTGCTGATGTTTTCGACTCCCATAACTTGACCTCTTTGAGTAGGGCTGGGATGGAAATTTTAGGCACGTTAGAGAACAGATCTGAGCCTTGGCTCGATGTGCTTTATGCCCCTTGGCGTCACTTTTGCCAGGTAAAATTTCATTTCAGCTGATTGCAATTGTTAATTATTAGTCCTACCAAGTTTCATTTCTTTCTTTTTGCTTTTTCATTTTGTGAATTCACAGGCCATGGAAGATTCATGTGTGGAGTTGGCAGCTAAGCTGGTGAATGCTAAGGTCAAGATTGGGAAGTTCAGGGTAGATGGTGAGCTTAAGGCAAATGCAAAGCAGAAACTTCGGCCCAGGAGCTTTACCACTACAGTAATTTTCCCTGCCTCCAGGCCTATCAAATATTCCTCGGAGAAGAGGGACATTGATTCACAGTTAGCTTTTGTCAATTCGCTTCAATGGTGATGAGCATGCTCAGATCCATACTTACCCATTTGCGAGAAACTCGAGTCTAGAGCATAGAACAAAAACATGGAGCAGGAAAGTGTCAGTAATCTGCACATCCATCCTACAACTGCTTTCATGGTGATGTCCTTCACAAAGATTCAGTGTTCTAGCATTTGTGGTGAGATTGAAGAGTTCCCCTTTGAGACTTCAGATTTCCTCATGCTCAACCATGGATTGCAGTCCGTATTATCAATCCATTACATTGTTTCCTCTTTTTTTTTTCTTTTTCTTTTTTTTTGTTGGAAGAAATCAACTTCGCTGTTAAATGAAGTAGCTGAGCCAAACCCAAAATGGAGTGTGGTGCCTAAAAACATTTTCTTCTTTAATAATACCATTACTAATACCAAAATCTATCTATGAGTTCATTGTTTGTGTATTTTTATTTTGCTTTGCGTTCATAATCATAAGATAAAAGATCCCAATTTCATATAAATTCCATTGGTGTTATCATTTACTCCCGTTACTTATCTGAAACTTGCATCAGGACTTCATCCCTGTTGTCTTATCGACTCTTTATACTTACTCCCGTTACTTATCTGAAACTTGCATAAACTTGCATCAGGACTTCATCCCTGCTGTCTTATCGACTCTTTATATGGTCCGTCCACTAGGGCTTCGACAGGTTGCTTGCTTCTAATAATTTTCTTCCATGCAAGGAAAAGAAGCATAAGACTGAAATAAAGCTTGTATTTCCAATTCTATCTCAAAACATAATATGACTAGGCTTTGGGTTTGGGTGGACTGGACAATCCATGAATGTTCAAAACTCACAACTTCAAGCTTCAAGCATAATTCATGGCTGTGCCAAAAACAAAACTGACTGTTTTACAGAGACAGTGCAGGCTTCGAAGACATTCGAGCTTTGGCATCTCAAAGAACTAAGCTTTTTCCTCTACTTTTTCTCTCCTCCACTCTTCTCATGGATCCAGCTAGTTGTTATTGTCTAAATCAAAAACAATGAGAAGGGCATTGAATATGGGTATTTCAGACTTCTGATTAAGCAATTGGCATTCCTACCACCTTTACATGGAGGCTGAAACCCCAACAACAGTGACTTTAGATTCAGTGAGCAATACAAATTACAAACATCGACTGTTTCGAGGTTTTAAGCCCCAATAAAACCCTCACTCTACATTGAAATCCTGGGTCTGCACAAACCCAACTGAAGCCACAAATAGTTAAAATGAAGAACAAATCACCTCAATTAAACAGATCGATTCTTGAAGGTGCAAAGATAATCACAAATATTCATAATCGAGGCACTAACACTGCAAACACACGACATTAATGATGAAAATCAAATACTAAAATTGATTGGTACCACATCCATGATCTATCCCCCCTCTTCAGGCTTCCTTGTCCTTGATTGGTGGTGCCTTGAAAAGGAATTTAGAAATCAAAGCAGCTAAAGTTGCTCCTATAAAGGGGCAAATCCAATAGACATAAAAGAAATCCCATGTGGTGTGCCTATTGCTCAAATAAGCCCATCCATATGCATTGGCAGGATTCATTGAAGGGCCGGTATACCTACCTCCAGCCATAACCAGTCCCACAGTGGCCACAGCTAGCAACCAAACCTTCAACACAAA